AGTAACATTATAGTTTAAAGATACTAAATGCTATTATATAGTTAGCTTGTGTCCTGATTGTGTGCAAGCACTGTTTTAAAGCCTAAAATAAACAGCAGATTTTCTTCCTGCGACCTGAGGATGGAAGATTGCTGCTGCCACCAGAGGGACTCCGAAATACGACGGCAGGAGCCGAGCATCCCCGAACCGGCCAAACTTCCCGGTGAAGGCGTCCGACTTTCAGGGGCTGCCTTCAGGATTTCTCAGGTGCTGCATTATCCGCTCCCATGGCTTGAGGGCTGGATATGAGGTTTATGCGCTTTCTCCTCTCATCATGCTGGTGATGAACTTAGTCATCCTGCCTTTCTGCTCGCTTAATGCAACTGGGCAGCAAGCCGGGAGTTTTGCACCGCGCAAGGTACAAAGTGCTCATAAAATCACCTCTATTTCACTGCTTTTCACTGGTATTCGATCACACAATTAGCACCGAAAACGACTGCTAAAATAGGAGTTAAAACGTTAATGATTGGCTCACACCCATGATGAAATTGTAATGTGGGGCTTTTGAGCATTTATTGCAAATTTGGTTTTAAAAAGTGGGGAGAAAGATGATAAAAAAATGTGTGATCGAAGGTAAAGTCTGCAAAAATTCAGTAAGGCTCAAATGGATTCTCCTGTGTCTGGGGAAAACCGCCATTCTCACTTGTCCCACAAAGAACCAGTGTTTTCTCTTTTCAAGTGAAAGCAGAAAAATTGTTGTTGCTGCAATAGATAGTACCTTAGATTAAAGGAAGGAAAGAGCACTCAGGATGAAGCTGCATTTCTTTCACAGTCTGGTTTTTTTTCTGTGTGTCATAAAAACCTAAACCCTAAGGGGTGTTGGAAAAGATTTTCTAGTAATTAAACTATTTTCTTTCTTGTAAAGCATGCATGGGGTTTTGCAGTGACAACCTCTGGCCCAATAACAAAAATGCTGTTGCCTTTCCTAAAATTCCCATTTCCTGTTTTGCTGAAGAACTAGCTGTGTCACTAAACCTGCAGCAAAATTTCATTTATAATAAAAAAACCCACATTAAAACCCACAGGATTACAATGATTTGGGTATGACAAATGATCCCAGGGCACAGATAGCTTGCCTTCTTGGAATGTAGGAGAATAGCCAAAGTAAAATTGTTTTCAAGGAAATCACCACATTTTGCTTAGTTACAGCCCGACTGACTTTCCTGTTGTTACTTCAGCCCTGGCCCGAGATGCTTCAGATTCACCGTAAGCGACAAGATACGTAGAGTTTGCGAAGTCCCATCACCTCGATTCTGGTTATGTGTCTATCTCAATTTCGATACTCTCTTGTAGCCGCTGTGGTTGTGGAGACAAGAAGTGGTTTTAATCTCATGGTTTTGGGAATCCTGACTCATCCTTTTTCGTGTTGAGGACAGGTAATACCTCTTCCTCAGGCAGAAAAGAGCCCGCGCTGCTTTACAGCAGTTCTGCGTGGCCTGCGCCGACTCCAGGGAGATGTGCTTATGAATACTGAGGTCCTACCCAACCCAAACCAACACCTTCCCCAAAATACTCTGGGGGAGCTGCAGGCAAAGCTACCCCTTACGGGTAACTTAAAGGTTGCGTCAGCCCCGGACAGGGCTCTGTGCTATAGACAGGCAGCAGCAATCCCCTTCCAAGGGGGATTAATTTGGTTTTGTTGTTAAAGAAGGATGCACGAAGACCGTCTCCTCATTTCCAAAACATGAGGGCACCCAGAAGAGTCAAGGCTTGCCCAATTACAGACAAGAGGAACTCAGTTAAAACACCTGCTCTTGTGGGATATTTATGAAGTGGGTCAAGCCTACTGACTTTCGGCAGTTTAACTGGTCCGATGGGACAATAAGAGGGATGTTGTTTATGTAATTCATCTTTTAAATCGAGCTCTGATCCCCGGGAGTACGAGAGGCTCCCGAGGAGTCGTGTTTGCAAAGGTCTGCACCGTGTCGGGCTTCCTGCGCTGCTGAAGAGCCGGCGTTCATCACACAGCAGCTTCTGATTGCTGGCCAGTTTTGCCTGTTAAACAGGCTCTCCTCTGCCCCAATGACACGCTTTGTGGGTGTCATCAAATTTACTGGTTCTCTCGTTAGAGTAACCCCGTACGGGTTTATCAGAGCCTGATGGGAGAGAGGGAGCAGCGCTGGGATGGGACCGGGCTAAAGCACATACTGGTTGAAAAACCCGATGAGTGACAAATACCTAGTATTTCGCATTTCATGTGGATGCTCCTCCATCAACCCTTTGATGTTTAATGCTCTGACGATGTGGCACAGAAAGCACCTCCCCTACGCACCCTTCGTGACGCTGAGCAGAGTAGCAGAATCCCTTCTGGGGACTGACGGGACGTCTTGGGAAGCGTACCCCAAATCGAACCCTTCTGTTTGCTTATCCCCGCACTAGGTTACAAGTGTAGATCTCATCTGCTCTGCATTTTCATCCCTTTTTTTCTAGGCAATACTCCTTTTCAGCTTCTCCTTCTTATTTATAACTATGTTTTTAGACTGTTTGGCTTTAGATGTTTTAATGTGTTTTTTTTTTAAAGCAGACAGTGTATTCCCTAATACTCCTTTTGATACCTATACAGCTCTTCCATCATCTGCTTCCCCTTACATACCTTTTAATAGATACACACTGTGCCTTGCAACTATTTCAGACGTGGTAATCATCCATCCTATAGCAGCCTTGTAACGCCGTGGTGGGTAAGTGGCCTTCCAAGGACCTTCTCCTCAGGCCAAGCCATGGAAATCAAGACACATCAGCACTGTGTCAGGTCAGGATCCAAATCAGGTGGGTTTTTCTTTCTACAGCCATAAGGAAATACTATTTTTTTTTTTCTCAGAGGTGGGCAAATGCCATGTGCAACACCTGGGAGGGATGCAGCCACGCTTGGCTCTGCCTGGATGTCTGTCCGGCCGCACCGTTACGCTCCCGGAGCGCAGGACCGTACAGCACACCTCGCAGATGACGCACGTACTCCAGCCTTCCCACACCGCCTTTTGAGTTAAGTCTTATCTTTGTTATTCTTATATGGGAGTGACTTCCAGCCTCGGAAACGGGAACCAAAGGAAAAGTAACAATGACTTCAGAATGAATAATTAAAAAAATGAATTAGTTCCTGAAAAGTTGTTCCTAAAAACGGTCGAAGCCTGCTCTCCCTGCCAATTCCCAATGTCAGCTGTGGGTTAGTCCCCCCATTTCATAAGGAAATGGGCACCTTTAGGTCTATTTATGCTGCCCAGCTTGGTAGTCTACACAACACTGGAGCGTGACGAAGTGGTCACCAGTGTTTCGAAGACAGTCCTGTGGTTAAAAGCAATACAAGCAATTCCAAGGGGAGTTACTTATTTCCCCCTCCCTGAAAAGCACCCCAAGGACTGCATCGGTAAGAAGAATGCCTGACTCCCAGCACAGGAACGTGCTTCCCTGGTCTTCATCCAACATGTGCCCTAAGGGTTTATTTTTCTGCTGTTAGTTGAGTGCATAAAATCCAGCGTGTTGCTGTGCTGTGTCCTCTGCTCCCAAACCTTGGCTGCGGTGTCGGCACTCCGCGTCTCTGCTTTAGCACAAAGGTGCCCTAAAGTTTGGCGTGTGACATGAGAGGATGGCCCAAGGACACAGGAACCCAGTAACACCGCAGGGACTCCTCTCGAGCGGATGGGGGTCAGAGTATGCCATAAGAAAGTGGAAATGACTGTTCTTTAAGCAACTGCCTGCTGTTTCAAAGTCCCTGGGCATCACTAGCTGCTGACAATAGTTTATGCAACTCGTATCGTGCTTTACTTATCCCCAGAGTCCGTCCCAGAACAGGAAAGAGGAATATTGAACCCAACTTCATCCCCACGTACATGAGCTCTTCAGAGGACAGCTGGGAATGGCAGCCTCTCCCCCAGCAAAAACACCCCCCCGAGCTGGGTGAAGAGACCATGCGAGGGGAAACCTGATGACGGTCCACTTTTTAATCAGCATTTATTTTATAAACTGAGGTTTTACAACTGTTCAGATGCTTACAGGCATCTCTGGTATCTGTGGTGAAGGTTTACTACGAGACACTAAGCGGGGAGAAAATGAGCAGAATACATTGAGGCAAAATGCTTTTGATGAAATGTCATGAATAAATTTGTCCCTTTTATGATGAGTATCATGATATAGGATTCAGTCATTTTTCTTAGAGCCTCAGGTCTTTGACTGGTAGGATTGTAAGGCATTTTTCTCTCTTTCCAAGGTAAATTTTCAGTTTTTCGAGCCCTATTGACTGTTGAGAAAGGGACCAACTTTAAAAAAAAAAATCAATGGCAAATTCAAATCACCTTAGGTAGAAACCTTAAAAAATTACAATTTTTTTTAGGTAAACCTGTGGTTTCTGACAGCTTACCTTGTGGTTTTTGAATGCTTGGAGTTCGAAGTGCTGCTGCAATGAATTTTAAAATAGAGACTTTAAGCCTGATGTAACTGTAGTGCACTATAATGTAATAGGAAATAGGAAAAGGGGCTTAAAGGTCTCTTTACACACTCTAGAAACAGACAATGGTAACACATAGGGCAAACCCAAGGCTTGCAGCTAAATTAAGCAATACCAGGACAATTTCAGACTTTTGCAGATCTGACCCAGCTGTAGCCTGAGGATAGCACCGAGAAACCGCACAGAAGAAACGGTGCAGAGCTGGAGCTGGGCAAAACTCAGCAAAGCGTGAAAAGAGTCTTTGGCAGAACTGAACAAAGTATCCACCTCATCTTCTGCACCCAAAACCCTGAAGGATTTGTCCTGAATGGCTGCTGGCTCCCGGGACCCCCCTGACAGCCCTAAGCCAGACGGAAATTCAAACGCATCTCATAGTACTTGAGTTCACACAACTTCTTGCCCTTAACTAGAGTGACCACCAGAAATGAGTTTTTTTAGGACCCTTCAGGGCTAAGGGGTCCCAAAGCCCTACCTTGGCGAGACGCTCTGCTGGTCCTGGTGTCTCCGGAGCGCCTCCTCTTCCTCACTTGTCCTTCAGCGTGGCCATGCCCAGGGCCTCCGAGCTGTAGTCGTACTGGTTGCTGGAGGACATGGACCGTCCCCAGGAGCACTGCAGGTTGGAGCCCCTCTTGCGAAAGGAGGATGTGAACCTGTAGAAGTTGCGGTGCCTGTTGCGCAGGTATTCCCGGTAGTTTTTGGTGAGCAGGGTGTAGAGGAAGGGGTTGATGCAGCTGTTGCTGTAGGTCAGGCAGGTCACCAGGTAGTTAATGCACTTTTGGGTTTGGGTGGTGAGCTGCAGGGAGCTGCTGTAGAGTCGCACCAGCTGCCAGATCCAAAATGGCAGGAAGCAGGCCCAGAAGACCAGCACGATGCTGAAAATCATGATGAGGACCTTCTGCCGGGGGGATCTCTTGCTCTTCTCCTTGTGGGGAGGGTTCCTCTGGGACTCCAGGTAGGTCCTGGCCAGGCGCGTGTAGAGGAAGCCAATGATGATTCCCGGGGCCATGATGCTGGTGCTGAAGAGCACCGTCAGGTAGGTCCGGTAGGCGTCCACGCTCCAGGTGGGCGCACACATCCTCTTCACCTTGCCCTCTGCCTTGCCCCCCTCGGTCAGGGTGACCATCAGCATCATGGGCAGAGTAAGGAGCAGCGAGACCGACCAGACGGCCCCCGCCGTAACCTTCCGGTAGCCGCGCGACCGCTTCAGGGTGTCCAGCGGTCGGGTGACGGCCAGGTAGCGCTCGGTGCACATGAGGGTGAGGGTGAAGATGCTGGCGTGCATGGTGAGCAGGTCCAGGCTGAGCAGGATGCGGCACCCCAGGTCCCCGAAGTACCAGTCCTGGGCCAGGTAGGTGCAGACGATGAAGGGGATGGTGGAGAGGTAGAGCAGGTCGGCCAGGGCCAGGCTGACGATGGAGCTGTACA